AAAAAAAGAATTCTGCGAAATCATTAAAAGAATAAAATAAAATGAAAAAAAACTGTGAAGAAATAGATTAAAGCAAAAATTGCTTCTTAAAAAAATCAAGAGAAAACATCTACTAAAGTCTTTGAGAATATTTCCAATTACTTGGTTAAAAAAATCAACAACAAAATATTAAATTTTATGTCCCACAGTTTTATTTATTTATTTTCAATAATTTTTTTGTTTAGTGTTTTGTAATGCAGTATTATCTTTGCAATATATTTTTTAAAAAATTTACTTCTAATGGTCACATGAAAATGTCAAAATTCATCAAGAGTATTCAATTAATAGAATGCAAACAAACTCAAAAAATAAAAATAAAACTAATGAGTTATTAGGCATTTGTTTTTATGTTTGACTTATTGAAATATATCTTTATTTTATATTAAATTTTATAACATATACTATCTAAGTAATCTATAGATTTTATTACATGCTTTGTTTCAAATCTTTTGTCGTATGTGAAAAATAGCTGTTATACATAATCAACAAAATAATAGTTTTATAAAACTTAAATAATGGCATCATTGAGCAACAAATTTTATAATTTTATTTATTTTTTTCATTTATTTTATGATTTATTTTTTTCAATTGTGGCCCAATATTTTCTTCTTTATACATTTGATTAATAAACAGTATTCGGTTTAATATTCATTTGTTAATTTTTAATATTTTAAAAATCTTCTATTTTAAAGGACTTTTATGTAGTATGGGATATTAGGCGTGGTTGTATGCATTTTATATACAATATAACTTCCTAACAATAAAATATTTAGATTTTTTAAAAACAAAACATAAACTTATATTAATAGATTTTGGTGATCTAAATGTAAAAAATGCATTAAAATAAAAATCAAAATGTATTAATTTCTATTTTCTTATTAAGATTCTTTTCATTAAAACTATAGATTTTTTTAACAAATGTGATTTCTCAGAATTTTTTTAATTTTAATTTTAAACTAATTTTATTATAGTATTCTCACATATATTATCTATGAAATGTAAATTTAATTTAATCAATATGGCATACTTTTTACCTTATAAAAATATTCTTTCAAGTAAATGAAGCAATTAACTTCATTTTTTATAACATTTTTTTTTATATTTTTCTTAATATTTTTATTGTCTTTGAATTAGTATTTTAAAATATAAATACCAAATATGAAATTCTAATACATGTGAGTAAAATAAATAAATTATTGAATTTTGATGAAAAAAATCAATAATATTCATAAAATTAAAAAATTTATAAAACACACATACACACACACACACATATATATATATATATATATATATATATATATTTAAGCTAGTTGGGCTATGATAGTAGGGAACATAAACCACATATTACATTTTAAAATATATATATATATATATATATATATATATATATATATATTACAGATATATTAAAATTATAATATATAATATTAGAAATGCAATATAATACCTTATTTCATTAGTCAATAAATTATAATATATATTTCTTACTATAATTTCAAAAAAAAAAAAAAAAAAACTAAATTATTATGTTTATTTGTTTATTCATTTCACAAATAATTTTATAAATCATAAAGAAAAAAATTAGCTAAAAAGGAGGTATTTAATAAATTGAAATATAAAGTGACTTATAAAGTTTTATTTAATTTTTAAAAAATGACAGAATATTAATTATAAAATATGATGTAATATCTAATTTTTACCTATTTGATATACAAATAAAAATATGATAGTTATATGATAAATTGAATTTGCAATATCTAATTTTTACTTAATTTATATATAAATCAACATTCAAATGTATTCTAAATTAACTTACATATTTGTTGTGAATTTAGTTTCTTTGGAAAAAAAATATAAATAAATAAATAAATAAATAAATAAATATATTGATGCAAATCAATAAAATAAGGAAACTATTAGGTGGGCATTCTCCTTCTATTGCATAAACACCTTCCATGCAGCTCTAACAATAGACCATTGCTATGAGTTTTGAAACAAACTTGACACTAATAAGGCTAAGAGGTTTGGAAACAATAAAAAAAACAACAAAAATTTATGACATGTAAAGATCAAGATTATATAAGCTAAAAAAAGAAAATAAACAAAGAAATGTGTCCACATAGCAATTCTTCTTGGTAGACATCCCTCTTTTATTGTTTGTTTTGTTTGATTTAACTAGCTTCCAAGTTGATAATGCTTTTGTATTATAAATTGTTGTTGTTTTTATTCCTTTTAGTCTAATCTTGTCAAAATACAAGTAGCAATGGTGTTTTGTTGGTGTGGCACAATGGGTCTTTATGCAGTAAAAGAAGAATGTCTACTTAGCAGTTTCCTAAAATAAATATTACACAAATCAAAACAAATATGATAACAAAGCTACATCTCTTTATTTAAACAAATGTTGTTATATTTAAGTCAAGAACATTGTTGAAGTTTTAGTTTTCTTCAAAATCTAAAACTTAATCAAGATAAAGAAAAAAACAATCTAAAAATAAAATAATAAAATAAAACACTTACTAAAGATTATATATATATGTATATGTTATTTACAAAATTCTAAAGAAAAATCTTGTTAACTTTCATAACATTTGATGGTTCAGTAGTACTTCCAAAAACAAAAAAAACTAAACAAAAATGAAATAAAATAAAAATCTAAAATTATTTGATGAAGCAAACATATTATATATATATATATATATATATATATGATAGTATTCGTTAAACGAAAAGAGAGAGAGAGAGAAAAAAAAAATGGTCAAATTGTGTGTATATGAGTAGACAAAGACGCTTAGATAAATCTTTGGCATAATATAAAGAATTTTACGAAAAAGGTATCTTTTCATTCCGAAAAAGATATTGTGGTGCAAATCACAGAAATCCATTACAACACTTTTTTCAATACTCTAAATGTATTGGATGGTGTGCTGTTGTATGCGTTGTTTGAAGTATAGGCTATAATAATAATTATTTTTCCATACAACTTTAATATGTGGTTACAGGAGTGCTAAAAAAGTTGCAGAAATATCTTTTAACAAATATAACCGTGTTTAATTATTTAATATTTTTATTGTTTTTGCAACTTATTTGATGTCTATACAAAATTCAAGTATGATCTTATTGTTTCTTAACACCCCTCCTTTTTGTCTTATGTTTTTTTAGTGTTAAATTAATGATAATAATATTAAAACATTGAATTGTCAAACACGAATAAAATTCATACTAAATTGTTTGAAGGTTATGTTTGGTTAATACATGTTACAATGATTTATGATGTTTTTTAATCGAGGATCATAGATTAGTTTTGTGACAAACATATCAAATGTAAATAAATTTTACATTGAAAGATTTTATAATATCTTAAGTTTATTCACAGAAATATAAATGAATGTATGTGTTCATCTGTAATAATTCAGGTTAATTTCTTACTACCAAATAATATTAGAATTTATTTAAATGTTCCACACATATACAATAATCATGCATTTGTAAAGATTAATTAAAAAAAAAGTGTAATCAAAAAAGCTTTAGTGCCAAGTTTTTTGGAATGTTTTTATGAGTGAATTTTCAAACAACCACAACAAACTTTGATAAATTTTTAATTATATATTTATGAAAAATCGAATTTTGAGTAAGGATTATTAGTCCTATCACCTTTTCCTATTATTTTAAATCAGGACTAGCAGAAACAATATGCAGACAACATATTTGAAATGTACAATGACATTTTCTTCTAGTAACATCAACAGATGTTAGTATATAAAATTTTTATTCCTAAGGTATAAAATTTCGAGATAATTCCATTGGTCACGTTTAAACTATTGTTTTCCCCCATGTTACAATGTTTATCTTCAAATATATAATCCCCTTACTTTCAGTATGTGAGATATTTCAACATCCTAAAAATTAAAAATATAAAAAAATAAATAAGTAATTGTTTAATATTTTTAACAAAAATCAAGTGAAAGACAGTTACAATACATGAACTTTATTTTAGGATTGAAAAATACAAGGCACTGGAATCCAGCTTGTCAAAACCAAGACAAGAATTAATAGTGTGTGTAAATACGTTGATTAAGTTACACATGCATATTACTCAAATGAAAACTAAAAACGAGAAAGTGAATACAGAGACTTTTTATTTATTTTATTATATTTTAAATATAAATTTTAGATTATTTATAGCGAAACGAAGTGTACCAAATTGGAAAAAGTCTAAAGAGAACAATTCGGATCATTTTCAATCACACCGGAATCTTTCTACACTGTGACACCCACATGGATCATGGATGTGGATGGATGTTCATCTCAAAATAACACACACTGTAGTAGACTAGAATGGACAATGGATGAACGAATAAAACATTCATCCACGCCTCTGGGGACACAAGAATCCAGATCAGCAAAGGGGGGTGACCGGTTCATCCGGTGCTCGGAGACTGGACTGGCTGACTGGACTGTACTGGACTGAGGTTGGGTGCCAAGGCTTCTTCTTCCTTGGCCCCGTTGTGAGCAGCATACAAGTCCCCGAGTTTCGGCGAGGAGCGGACCGACTCCATTGCTGTCCATTTTTGTTAGTGTTTCACTGGAGCATCACGGAGGGAACAAGGAAGGGAACGAAATTGAGTCCGAGGGGAACTCATGAGAGCGCGAGCATGGCAAATCAGAAAGCAGCGGGAACCAGAAGGGGACACAGCCAATCAGCGCGGGAGCATGGACTACCAACGGCCAACCAACGACTCTAAAAAGGGAGGGAAACGGAAAAAGGGAAAAGCAGGGCGAGAGAGAGGGAACAACGAGGGAGGGAACCACTAGACAGAGCGAAAGAGAATGCTACCACGGTGATAGAGCCGTCCGTGGGCACACCCTTCCTTTCTTCCTTTCGCTCTAGGCCAGGCCAGGCCAGGGCGGGGCTGGGTTGGGTTGGGGACACAGGGGGGACGGGGGGCGGGGGAGAGTGAGCGAGAGGTTCCCGTTGTTTGGTGCCCATTTTGATTTTAGAGCTGGCTGGTCACAGCGTCCACTTGCCGCTAGCTAGCGCCTTCCCGCTCTTCCGCCCTTTGCCACTGGGACGTTGTTCATCGTTGGAGCGTCCCCCCCCCCATCGCCTTTCGTTTTGCCGCTTCTTTTTTGGTGCTGTGTCGGGATTTTTCGTGGGCGAGCTCGCGGGTTTTTGACGAGAGAGCGGGAGAGGGAGAGAGAGAGAGCTTTTCTGTGTTGGAGGTGGAAGGGTTGGGGTTTCGAAGAGGGGGATTAGTGTGAATGTGGAGAGACTCTGTTGGTTGAGAAGGGAGGGTAGTTGCGGTGAGTTGGTTGACTTGGATAGGAGAGAGAGAGAGAGAGAGAGAGAGAGGAGAGTGCGATGTGGTTAGAATCAGGGTTTGAGTGTGTTGGATGAGGGAGCTGAATTTTTTGGATGCGGGGCGTGTGAGTCTAATACAATCGAATTGTGCCTGCGGGGAGAGCACAGTGGTCCGAGGACGTCTGGGTGTATGGGCCGGAGGGTCTGGTTAGCCTCGGAAAGGACGCCCCGGAAGGTTGTGCGAGAAAGTTAGTAGTGAAAAGTGGAGGAGCACCTGCTTTATTGTTGTGGCCATCATGTCGAAGAACCAAGGGAAAGAGGCGGAGCTGATTGACATTGGCAAGAAGCTGGGAAAATCGCACTCGAAGGATGCCCTGGTTAAGCTATTACTGGTAAGTACTTCTTGTGGTTTTTGTAATCAAATACGTTGTCCACCTGGGAATTAATTTTGAACTTAGATTTCCAGGCACATTACGGTCTCAGTCACAGTGACAAGATTACTTTGATACTTTCTCTCGTTAAGTGTTTCCGAGGAGGTGCCCTTTACTAGCAGCGGAAATTGTAGGAAATATAATACCTATTAGGCTTACGGTCCAGCAATGCCTCGGAATTAAAGAAAGCAAGGTTCTATTAAAGTCGTCGAAAAAAAACTAGGGTGAAAGTGGGGTTGCAATGTACTAGATCACGCTAATTGTGGACCTATGTGGCTTCTTCTACACCAAAACGTCCAAACAAGTATACCTTTCTCCCTGGAGTCATTCAGCAGCACCCTGAATGGATAAAATTGGGGGAGCAATGATGTTTCCTGATTCTAAACGTTCGGTGCTTGTTCTCGCCACCAGCACTACGGTGGAGGGTCCAGACATCGAAATGTCTAATTTAGGTGGTCCATCCTGGAAAAGGCCGTACATTGGGAAGCTAGCAGTTCCGCACCAGTGGCTGTGTGAAAGACTCTGACGCTAATTCGATTGAGAGAATCGTTTTAGTCGTCACTTGTATTTCGGCATAGGTCATTGGAACCGAGCAACCGACTCTATCGTCCCCCTAGCTTGCTGTATGATTAAAGAGGCAAACTAGAAATGAGCGATATAATCTACGCTACTGTACCCTGGTTGAGTCGATCCATTGGTTGAATTAAAAACATATCACCGGAATCTATTATACAAGCCGCTCTATACTGCTGAAGATACGAGCTTGTCCAAGCCTGTGCTAGCAATTATACTGGTTGTAGATTGCTAAGCCTCAGTCGCTGTGTCTGCAAGTCAGGTGCCAGAGTCAGGTTAGTCATGGTCAGAGATATAGCTGTCCTCAATTCCCCTTTCCCATAGTCCAATTTGCATTTGATATTTTTTTCTTTTCTTTTTTGAAAGTTACATTATGAACCAATAATTGCAACTTTGGGTTCATTTAGAGGTATATAAACGACTTTTTCTGACAAAATCGCTAGGGTTGGTGTTTCGAGGATTTTCCTGCATCTTGTGGGCAAGCATTTTGTTTATGTAGTATGCTTAATGCAATAGCGAAGGCTCCTTGGACAGAATGATGTTAATCTACGTATTATAGCCAGTTTTCTCGGTCACAATTCATATCTAATTGTCCTTACATCTATACCTACGTTCTTTCATTTCTTTGTAGAACACCCATAAACGTATGAAGTTTATCAGTTGCAGATGACCTATTTATTTAATCTGCCTTTCCTTGAAGAGATATTCTTGTTCGCTAATTTTTGATGCCGACGTGGTCAATTTTGGCTTTCACACTGTTTATCAACAAGGATGCCAACTGAGCATTAAGATCTGTCCACTGTACTCATCTCGAATGACAGGGTTGAACTACTGGGATTTGTTTTCCACTTTCCAGGGTCGTTTACTGAATCTTGCTTTGGATGTGTACAGCAAACATCGGCTTTACTTTCAGAGTTGGATCAATCACCCCCACAAAGCACTCACAATGCGATGAAAGGGTGTTCCGACGCTTTAGTGTCCTTACCTTTATTGAGACACAAGGACAAGGAAGTCGGGTTGCTTGTTGCTATTTGCATCAGTGAAATTATGAGGATCGTGGCTCCTGATGCCCCTTATAGTGACGAGACTCTGAAGGTAGTTTTTGTTCCTTCTCTCCTCTATCTTTCTTGATTTTTTTTGCATGCAGTATTCCAGGAAGATGCTCTATGGATGCTTCTGAGTAAATTCTTTGATCGTTCTAGCAATTTGAAACGACCACAGAAAACTCGTATCATCGTATTCAATTTTGGATCATTCGTGTCTCTTCTTTTTCTTGCCGAAGGCGTTGAAACCACGATATTTCTGTTATTCAAATTTTAATAACACTGTTTTATCGGTTGATCATGCTGCAGGAAATATTCCAGCTGATTGTTACCAATTTTAAAGGACTTGATGATGTTAACAGTCCTTCCTTTTCAAGGAGAGTGAGTATTTTGGAGACCGTCGCCAAGGTCAGATCATGTGTCGTGATGCTGGATCTGGAATGCGATGATCTTATCTTGGAGATGTTTGAGATCTTCTTTGCTACGGCAAGGTGTGAACCTATCTTCCAATTAAACAATTATAAAGACACGTACCTACAGATGGTTCTGGTCTTTTCTTCTGCCTTCTTCAATTCTTTTTTTTCGGCCGGTAAGAGCCTACATGTCTTTATTTTTTGCGGCTACCCGAATATGTGGAAATGAAATAAACTCATACGCTGTGGGCTTTGGCAGTGATGAGCAACCTCATAATGTCTTTGTGGCTATGAGAAATATCTTGACCCTTGTTGTGGAGGAGAGTGAAAAGATTCCAACTGAAATGGTGGAGGTCATTCTTAAGAATTTACTGAAGCCAAAGAAGGTGTGTCCATGTTTATTTGGATTTTTTCTTATGTTTCTGTGGGATGAACGCTTTACCAGTTTTCAGAGTCAAAGCATTGTTTCTCTGAACTACCAAAGCAATTTCTATTCTTGATTTTTCTGTTTCTATTTTCCTGAGCAGGAGGGGTCAGGTGCACGCAAGTTGGCAATAGCTGTTGTAGAGAAATGTGCGGACAAGCTAGAACCTTACGTGCGAAGCTTCCTGACTTCCGTGATGGTGGAGGGGAAGAGCGTAGATAGTGGACTCCATAAGGACCACCATGAAATCATATACGAACTCTATGATTGTGCTCCTCAGTTGCTTGCCGGCGTTATTCCTCTTATCAGTGACCAGCTTGTGGTACTGCCGTTGCCCCTCGTGTGGTTTTACAGCACTATGGTGTTCACTCCTCAGTGTTTTCAGCATCTATGTAACTATCATTTGGGTATATTCCACATAAGTAACATGTGCTAGTTGCTGATTGCAGAAGGATAAAGTAAATGTGCGTTTAAAGGCAGTTGATCTCCTGGGGCGATTGTTTTCTCTTCCCGGCAGGCAATTCGCACAAGAATATCCACATGTTTTTGCAGTATTTCTGAAGCGATTCAGTGATAAAGTAGTGGAGGTTCGAGTAGCAGTCGTAAATTGTGCCAAAGAGTATATGGAGGCAAATCCTACAGGCGAGCAAGCCAATGAAATTATTGGTGAGTTTTTATTGTTGCTAGTAGAGTTTGCTGATCTTTCTGTCGATCAATAAGTCATTAGAAAGATTTTATATACGTAAACCATTCACGATTTCAGAAAGTTATTTATATACGTAAACACATTCACGATTTCAGAACCAGTGTCCTGAAGATTGGCATCAGTTACACTCCTCCACTTTTTTCTAACAATTCGTGTTGCTTTGCACCCCTTAGGTTTATTTGGGATGTGTGAAGTGCGTTAGATTTGCGATCACTATGGAGCTGATTGTGGGTGTTTAATTTCTAAGAGGCTCCGTGGCAATTCCTGCATTTAATCCTCGTTTACGATGTTTTTGGCGTTTGCAGGTGCATTGCAAGATCGACTTCTGGATTATGATGATAAAGTGCGGGTGGCTGTGGTCAAGGCCATATACGATATGGTTATGAGTGAATTGAAGTCGGTTCCAACTGACGTGCTGCGTAAAGTTTCTGAGAGGCTTCGAGATAAAAAGGTACACGCGTGGGAGTCTCTGATTTACATATTTAGTCCGTCAACGTACTGTGTCGTGCTGAGGATTGATGTGTTGGGATCCTGTTTTTGAAAGCAGCATGTTTCAATATATGTCAGTACGCTTTGGTTATGCACATTCACAACTTTCAAGTGGAACGGAAATAAGTGTAACGAATTCGCTTTAAAGTACCAGGTGAACCCAGTGGAAGTTTTCTTTCGAGCGGTGTAATCAGCCCCCATTAGATAGCAATAGCAATGGATATCTCACATTTGGAAGTTGTCAGGTTGTGGTTCGAAAGGCTACCTTGGTGAAGTTGATGGAGTTATATAAATCCTACTGCACCAAGTGCTCAGAAGGTTTAATTTCGCTTGACAAGGAGTTTGAATGGATTCCCGGAAAAATTGCACGATGCTGTAATGACAAGGAGTAAGCTGTTTTTTTTTTTTTTTTTTTTTTTTTTTTTTTTTTTTTTTGGTTCTAGACTTTTTTTTTATATTAATGTAGAATCAGTTTGGAAGAACTTGATTGCAGAAATTTCCTACTAATGTGCAAGGTGAAATGCTTAAGAAGCTGAGATCCTGATATCGACGATCTGTACTTTACCCATGTATGGTTTGTTTCTTTTCCTGACAGCGGCTTGCTTTGGCAGACTTCATGGCTTGGAGACGATATTGACAGAGCAGCTTTTCCCAGCTTCTATTCCTATTGAGGAGCAATCTAGACACTGGGTTCTTGCTTTTTCCACGTTTGACGACATCGAGAGAAAAGCACTACAGTTCATACTTCTCCAGAAACAAAGGTCAGGAACATTCGTGATATGGTATTATACTATGACTTTCTGTAATATGCGTTCGTTGCGGCATTTGACAAACCCAATAGTGCCTGTTCACAGTGGTTCTGACGGAATCAAAAACACCATTACCTTCTCTCCTTTCAGTGCTGGTGTGCCATACTAACGTTGATCACATTACAGATTTACATACTGGCCTGTGAAAAAACTTGGTGGATCCTATGCAGAGGCAATTACTTAAATATTTCATATGAAGTATTAAGATTTATTTGATAATCGTCTACAGGGTGCAGCAAGAGATGCAAGTCTACTTGACCACACGGCAGAAAGCAAAAGTGAGTTGCAGGCCTCTCCCTATTGTTATGGTCTTCTACATCAAGTGTTCTGTTATTATCTTGCTCTGTTGTTGGTTTTCATTAATTGATTAGTGTGCATCTTATGCTTCATTACTGATTCTCTACTATCTCCTCTCGTATTTATCTAATATTAACCTGAAACATATTTTAGGAGGAAGAGACACCAGACCTGGAGAAGAAATTGCAGAGCATCTTCAAAGTCGTAGCTAATCATTGTGTGGAGCCTTCCAAGGCCGAGGACAATCTTCAAAAGCTGCATCAGTTAAAGAATGAGAGTGTTTTCGTTGCATTGTCCACATTACTTAATCCATGCACGACGGTTATAGATGCCACAACAGCTCGTGTATGCCTTTTCGATCCTTGTGTACATAAGTTTTTCAATACTTCCCTTGGGTTTCTGAATTCAAAATCTGAAGTCATTATTCAAGTTTCAACTATTGTACTTGTTCTATACCAATGTCATGTATCTTTATTTTCAGTTCATTTGTTCAGTATTGTCTTGTGATGTGGGTTTGTTTCTGGTTTTATTAGTCCTTTTCGCCGTTTCTTCCTTTTTACGGAGTAACCCTTAAATACGTTATATTGTGGATGCCATGTTGATATAATGGTTTTTTGCCTCGAGAGAGTGTTCCAGAATATTTTGAAAGTGGAGATATGAATGACAACTGTGAAGTAGATACAACTAAACTGATGAGGATGGTTTAATTTGAGCTATAGCAAACTTCAGAATTAAAGTTGGACTGAACGTTGATGCTATAATCTTTTATTCGGGTGCAGGATGATCTTCTGAAGAAAACAGAACAGCATGTGCAGAGTGATTTCATGAAGAGTCTTGCCACCAAGTGTGGCTTTTTTTTCTTTAGCAAGGAACATGTGCTCGCAATCTCCAAAGAAATTCTTATTTATAAGGATTCTGAGACTGACAAAGATCTTGTTGCCTCAAGTCTTTTGCTTCTTGTGGTGAGCATGGTGATACTTATGTCGTTTTGTTGGATTATTCTGCACTAAAGTTTTTGCTAGTGACCAGTTGTTGATTCAAGTAATGATCGAGAGATTATGTCCAATAATGGAATCGGTTGTAAATTGGCTTAGATTTTTTTTTTTTTTTTTTTTTTTTTTTTTTTGTAACTTTTAATCACAGCGGTTGAATTTCAGTTCTGTATGGCCCAGTTAGCAGTTTTGAAATTGACAGTCATGACATGGAATTAACTGAGTGCCTCCTGGATGTTTAATCTGGGTATCAAGGCTGTTCCATTTGTAATCCACTACCGACCAGGCAATTTGTTTCGCTATTTTTCCAGGAAATCGCTATATATAGTCCAGAGTTGATGGCAGATGCTGAGGAAGACTTATTGACATTGTTGAAGGACCCTGATGAGTCTATTAAAGAGGGTGTAGTACAGATTTTGGCCAAAGCAGGTTCCTCCTTCCGTAATAAAGGCTCCGGAGCCGAGGACAGGAGGTAGGGTTACCGCATGGAAGATTGTATTTTCAGATGATTCGTTTGGATATTTAACTGCCAAAAGCCCAGTAGCCTTAACATTATTAACGATATTTGATGTGCTCACTGTCTCCTGCTAAATGGTTGTAGCTTCTTTCATATGCAGCAATGTCAATTTGATGCTGGAGCAACTCTGCCTGGAAGGTAGCCGCAAGCAAGCTAAATATGCAGTCTCTGCAATCGCGGCCATGACTGCTGACTCTGGACTGAAGGCATTATCTGTGCTTTATGGGGTATGGCGCGCATTTTTAACAAAACACATTGGTATCATTGTGGTTTTCTTTCTTTTGGTTCTTCATTACTATAAGGTAGAACTAGCCGAAAGCTGCGACAATGAACTTGTGTCATGACGTTTCCTGAAATTTTGCGAGCTTCTTGATGTATGTGGCAGCGACTGGTGGATAAATTAGAGGACAACACACATCTTCCCACAATTTTGCAGTCATTGGGGTGTATTGCTCAAAATGCAATGCCTATCTTTGAAACGAGAGAGGATGACATCATCAAGTTTGTAGTTCGGAATGTTCTCAGGCGGCCAGCTCCACAGGTTAGAATCTATAAAGATCTGACTTTGTGAATTGATTGATTCGAATATCATACCAAAATTCTCGAATCATGCTGAACCTATATCTATTTATTGAAATTTTGGTGTTAACGTTCTTTGTAGAACATTGATATGTCATGAACACTATTCCGATCTGATCTGTACCCAATCAGATGGTTATGCTTAATATTCGTATATCATATATTCATGCAGGAAGCTGCTGAACCCATTTCTAACCCTGATACTCCAAGTGACCATGTACTTTTGAAGGTGAGGATTATTCTGGTGCAGTTGAAGTTCATGTAAGATAAACGATCTATTAGTTCATGTTGATGTTAATGTAATATTGTTTTCAGATAAAATCAAGTTGATTTGTTGGAATGGTTTTGATGTATTTAGAATTTGTTAAATTTTTAGATCTACGCTCTTAAAGCGTTGGTGAAGAGTTTCCTTCCGAAGAAGAATGCACATCAACGAACAAGGCTTCCGGGTCTTCTCAAAGTGCTTGTTAAGATTCTTGCGTGTGGAGAAATATCAGATGATATGAATACAAGGTCAGCTACTACCTGCTAACAAAGATTCTTGTTTGTTGATAAAAATTTCTTTGTAGCATCGCCTGACTGTATGTGTGGATTCGCTATTCATGATGTGATATTATAATGATAGTTATGATTTTGTTGATTGTACATAAATTTATCTGCAATTTCAAAAAGATCTTATCCTGCAAGCTTCTTTCTTTCTTCTTCTTCTTCTTCTTCTTCTTTTTTTTTTTTTTTTTTTTTTTGATTGTTTGTTTGTTTGTTTGTTTGTTTTTGCGTTCTCCGCTTTTAGTCTTCTATTTCTTCCTTGTTTTATAGTGACGGAGATAAAGCCCATCTGCGCTTAGCAGCTGCGAAAGGTGTATTGCGATTGGCACGACGTTGGGATAGTCAGATTCCCATAGACGTTTTTCATATGGTGGTTATGACCGTACAGGTTTGCTCTGTTCAGATTATGGATAATTAAGACTTAGCTTATCAACTTTTGTCAGTATGTACTATCATCTTCTGAATTCTTTGATTTGATTTGATTTGAATAATTGGTCAACATTTCACAATCTCATTTTCACAATCTTTCATTGTGCTAGACACCTAATTTGTATGAACAGAATTTTTTCTCGTCTACTGATTCAGACATGTCATTTGTGTGCTGAACCCGCAGTTGATAAGATCGGTGTAAGTAGAGGTTCGAGTATAATTGTGCTTCTTATGTGTCTATATCTTCTTTGCAGGATCAATCAGCACATGTCCGGCGTACATTGTTAAGAAAAATCCACCATTACCTGAGGGATCGGACGCTGAATCTGAAGTATTCTAGTGCTTACGCTCTTTGTGCAGTGGACACTGAGAAAGATGTTGCCCTGGAAGTAAGTTTGTTACTGTTCTTTTTAAGGTTCAAAGTGGTTATTGTTGAGTTAGCGATCTTGTCTTTACTGTTGCTTTTAGCTGAAGGTAGTGAGCTGCTTTTGCTGCCAGGTGTGCACTAGTGTAGTTTAAGTCCAGTTTTCATGGTCTTTGGTACTAGGATTGTTATGTGTTGTCATTGACGTTTGGTAGCTAATCATGGTTCTGAACATGTGGCAACCCAGACTCGGCGCTTTATGTCCGACTTTGTGGATGATTATCGAAAAGAAGCTTACAAAGCTGCGGCTGGGCAAGCTGAGAGGACGACTATTACGCTTCATCCAGAATATGCTCTTGTATACCTTGTGCACGTTTTGGCTCACCATCCTAACTATCCTGCTCCCTCTGGAGGTGTTCAGCCGGATCCATCAGCCTACGAACCGTTCTACAGGTTAGAGAGATGTTTACTATTTCATTACTTAGATTGAATAGCAGTTAACTTGTTAATGTACATCTTTCTAAATATACTATGTACTGGTATAATTATTTTGATTCTTTTTTATTATTCTTTTTGGAAATGCTTTTTATCTGTTTATTTGCTTATCGCTTGGGTTGTTCATGGTCAATTGTTGTATTTGGGTTTGCTTTTCGATTCGATCTAGAGATGTTACAAGAATTGGTTCGAGTAAGGGTATAGTTTTAGCACCTTACTCTAGTGTGTCGTGACTGGATGACAGGGAGTTGTTGTTTTTCCTACGTGCACTCATCTACCAAGAAGGGGATGGAAAAAATGAGACCGGAAAGGAAGGCAATTTGCCTCTAATATTAGCAATTCTACGCACCATCAAAGGATGTGAGAACGCCGTTGACAAAACAAAGACCGAGGTTTGTAGCGATTTCTGCTTATTTTCGAAGGCTATTTTCTAGCGCCAGACCTGTCTGTTTCAAATACAACGTTTGATAGAATTTTCTGCTACTGCATGTAATTATTCGACAATATGATCTATATTTTAAGCTTTACATATTAAAACAGCAGTAATAACTTTAGTGCTTTAGAACTGTAATGCTGATGTGGGAATGGCTAAACGTGCAGAGTATGAGCAGACTGTAGGTCGCTTGCTGATACCTGGTCAAGGAATAAGATGCTACAATTGTTTTTTTTGTCTTATATCTCTGGATGGTTGGAACAGTTCTGATTGCGATTTTTTGCACGTGTTACAGACTTTGTATGCGATATGCGATATTGCCATATTAATTGCTAAGGATATAGCACAATTGAAGAAGAAACTTGTGGAGACATATCCAGGTGCCATTCCGCTTCCAGCTTCTCTTTACAAGGTTCCTGAAGCTAAAGCCCGTTCAAAAAAGACACCTGTTGCAAAAGCCGCTGATGCTAAGGTTGCTGAGACGAAGGCTTCTGAGCCGAAGACAACTGAACAGAAACTTCTCGTATCCAAGGAAGCAGAACTGAACGGATCCAAGGCGGCTGAACCGAACGAGTCTGAGGCAGTTGACGAAAATGCTTCTGAAGTCAGGGCAGTTGAAACCATCGAGTCCAAGGTTGCAGCTGAACCAAATGAACCTAAGGGTCCTGAGTTAGACGCACTTATGGATGAAGCTAACGAAACCATGCCACTTGAATCCAAAGAACCCAAGGCTCCCGATGCTGACGAATCTATGGTACCTGGACCGAACGATACTGCATCCAATGCTGCTGCATCAGGTGAAGCTATTCCGCCAGTTGGAGGGGATGAGAAAAGTGCAGTCATTGAAGAGGAGGAACTAGAGGACGAACCAGAGGACGAACCTGCAAAGGTGTGTTTATTGCCTCTATAGGCTTGCATTTTACATTTTAACTTCCATTCAATTTTGTTTTTTTTTTTCCAAGCTGTGTTGTAATTGTCCCTCTTAACTATTCCTATGGCGTTAATTTTTCACTTCCTTCTTTGACTGCAATGACAACCTTTGACACCTTTAATTTGGAGCTTTTGCAGGTGGATGGTAGCCATCTGCCACCTTGCTTTACAGATAAGGACGTGTTGGAAAAATTCAAGGCTGGAACTTCCTCAAGAACTGGTCAGGTACCCTGTTGTGTCCTAGCCAAATAGACCTGTTTATGTCTTCTTGGGTTCTCCTTCTGGTAATGCTGTTTTGCTAAGCATCGTCATGAAATCAGTTCAGCTTGTAGTTGTGAGGTCTGATATCTTTATAACAAAAGGTGATCATCTGAATATTGGAGACAGATGTGACACTTCATGCCATGACACTCAGTTACTTGAAGCAGTTATGTGTTCCTCACCATATTCGTTACCTTGTTCCTCTTTGGTATTTTACAGCCTGTCAGTCCTAGGGGCCGCAAACGAGGGAAACGGATCGATAACGGAGAAACTGTGTTGGATACGGAAGGAGAGTTGGAACAAGGAGCACCTACTCCTAAGAAGGGGAAACTCGAAAACGACAAACCATCTAAAGGTGCAACCACAGGAGCAGGGGTCATAATTAAAGGTCCTTCACGTGGCGGTAGAAAGTCAGTAGACAGAAATGAGTCCGCTAAGAAAGTAGGAAAGAAGTCTGAAGTTGAAAAAGAGCCTGAAGAGGATCTGGATGAAAGTATACCTGCGAAACGCAAACGTGGTCGGCCCAAAGGTTCAGGCAAGAAGGATGATGGAATGAGTGGGGATGAAATGGCAGGACCGTCTTCAGATAGTACACCTACCACATCAGCCAAAAAGGGAAAGTCAGCCACTCCCATGCCAGATTCTGGCAGGAGAAAGCCTGGGCGTCCAGCCAAAAACAAGCTCGAGGAAGATGTTCAAAAGAAAAGTGCACAAAAAAGAGAGAAGGTACGCAGTTCTTAATCTCTTTTTTAAAAGTAAATATTAATTGGATTATCGATCCTTTAATGATCCTGTTTGAGTTTGCAGGAGTACATTTAAAGGTGTGTCTGATGGTTCTTTGTGAGTTGCTTGCACTTGGATTTTTGAGTCCTGGCTTTGTGCTGTTGTGTATTATTTCAATTACTAAAAGTTTCGAATGTGTGTACTATGGGCAGGTGGCGACAGTCACAACTCCTGATAAATCTGCCAAAAAATCAAGTACTATTGAAAAGGTTAGAGCCCAAGAGAAGGGTTTTTGAAGTCGTGATCGACTTTTTGTAGATGGACAGGTTATGTGTTCCTAAGGTTAAGAAGTGTAACTTGTGTTTATGTGTATCTACTTATGGATGTCTCAAAGGTGAAATTTATTGCCTTGGTCGATTTTGTTTTCATTAAGTCATTTCACTGAAAGTAGCTTCTCCTGCTGACTGTATAATTCTGCAAATATCCATTAAAGTTATGTTACGCGTGCAGGGTGCAAGCCCAGCCTGGAAGAGTGAAGGCGAGAGGGGTGGAGACGAGTCTCTCGTGGGTTGTGGCATTAAAGTTTGGTGGCCGCTGGACAAGAAGTGAGTAAATAATTCTACACGACGAAAAGTTAACGAACTATAGTAGAGAAATGCATTAGGTTAGGCCTAGTATAGTGCTGCAGTTTGATTTTAGATGGTTAGGGTGACGTTATCTACAAATCGCTGAAAGTATTGGTCTGAAAGTTTCTCACCAGGTTTCAATCTATTATGCTGTCTTCATGTCTGATTGGAATGATTTAATTTGTCAGATTCTACAAGGGGAAGGTTGTGGATTATGATGCGAAGAAGAAGAAGCACAAGGTATGAGATGGACCAGAGGTTTTGTGTTTGTACGCGTTGGCATCAGATGTTTGTACTGTCAATGACTCATTACATTGATGGGATTGCGAACCATCGGCTTATGTTTGACTGAGTTGCCATTTAACTGGCTTGAACCTTGAACTGATAACGGGCTTGGATGCAATTTGTGCCAGATCTTGTATGACGACGGGGAGAAAGAAGTTCTTAATTTAGCGAAGGAGCGGTGGGAGGTAACTGACAAACAGGGCAAATCATCTGCGAAGACTGAGAAGGTAACTTTGGAAATTGTTTCGTTTATCTTCATAAACCTTCTAAAATGATAAATTGAGGTCTATTTTTCATATTCATGTCTTGTAACTTGGGTCTTTTACCTCTGAACTTTCGCTGGTCGTCCTTGCAGACACCAAATGCAACTCCTCCAGCAACACTTTCAGGGACAAAATAGTACTGCTCGTGCTCCTCATTCTTGTTTGCTTTTATACCTATTCTGAATGATATTTAGAGTAGTCTTACCTTGACATGTGTTGTGCACACGCTTGCACACGATTATTTCAACCCAACCTTTTCTATTGGGTAAATTCTGCAGAATTATATGCCGTTTTTTCTCAGTAATTGGGTTGAGTCAAATGGCTTTTAACTATTATTGAGCAAAGCCTCTCATTTACTTCACCAAATATTTTTGTAAAAAGTCTACTACTTGTTTTTGCCAGCCCGGAGCCAAAGAGACTTAAAGTGACTGCCAAGACACCAACATCAAAGGATGAGTCAGAAAAAGCTTATGATACCTCGTATTTATTCTCAACTCCTGCTTCATTATTGCGTCACTGGAGCTTGCTGTACCGTATTGTTTTCACGATGTTAAATGTGTAGGCTTTTATTTACAGTATGTGTTATTTATTGTTTGTAGAGTGGTCTGGAATGAGAATCAAATTGTGCTACATTTGGATCCGCATTTGTCTTCAGTAAACATCAAGCTGGAAAAAATTAATGCCTAATGCCATGAGTCCACGCAGCATTAAGTGACAGTTTCATTCAAACAATGTGATGTCTGACAGAAAAGACGGTGCTTCAGCGAAGTCTGCTAAGTCAGCCAAGTCAGCTAAGGAGAAGGGGCCAAACAAAACTCCTGAAGCGACTAAGGAAAAGGAGATAGACAACACTCCAAAAGTTGCCAAATCTGCCGAAGGAAAAGATCAGGCAGATAGTGCATTTGAGTTCGATGATGAAGGGGTTGAATCTGAAGTTAGAAAACAGAAAACCGCAACCTCGAAAGGTAAAGTCTTATAAGACTTTTCAAATCTGTTAAGAAACAATACGCATCCCGAGTTCACAGTCATCTTTTGTTGGAATGCCAAGGTTTTTTCTTCCTGGTGATTCTGTATTCGTGGATAATTATCGGAAGTTGAAGGATTATGAGGATGATACGAGATTACTTTTTGGTAAAGAACTTCCAAAGTTTTTGGGACTATTCTAAGTACTACTGTGTGGAAGCAGGTTCGGTTGGGAAGCAAGGCAAGGCTGAAAAAGCGATGAGTACTTCCAAAGATTCAGTCTCAAAAAGTGCCAAAGAGACGTCAGAAGATAAACCAGATGAAGAAAAAGGTGTAGGAAATTCAGAAGATGACGAACCTTTGGTAAGTTGGAAAGTCCGTCCGTGAACAACAGTGGCCCTGCACCACAGTGCGAGATTTCTTTTTCTATCTTGTGTTCCAAGGAATTTTCTTTCCAGAGTGCATGCTATACGTATAGTTCTACTTATTACTTACATTGCAAAGGCTTGCTTGAAGCTGGCAGGACAATTGGAGAACTCGGAACGTGAAGAAGTCAAAGCCAGTGAGTGATTGATTCGTCTACCACCGTCGATCTAACTTACTTTTGAACATAGCATGTATCTTTGCGAGCCTTTAGTGTAGAGATAATGTGCCTTAGTTTCAAAACTAGCAGGTTTGTACATTCAACTTTGTATTGAAACTGGATGGTTACGGAGCCTTGTTATTATGATGGAGATTGGAGAGCTTTGCCAACATACTAGTCGGTTCAGTGTTTTAAACTTTGGGGAGGCGGAAGGCGATACTATCCTGCTTACATTTGTACTCGTAACTTTAGTCCGTATAGACATTGTGACTGCTATTAGACCTCATGCAATCTTCCCCTGGTCTTATGACCTCCCTGTATGCATCTTGTCTTGTACGCCCTTTTTGTGTTTTATTTAAAGAGGAATCCCTCAGAGTCTTGATAAGACTCGTTTTTGGCAGGCATTTTTTGCTTTCTCTGAAGCTGGATTAAGGATAAGATCCTCAGTTTAATCACATGTAGTGTTTTCTTTTTGTCCCAATCGGTGATAGTTGATTTTGACTTGAAGTGCTGAACCTGTGGATGATGAAATGTTTTTGGCAAATTTTCAAATTTACTGAATTTTTCACAGTAGCGCTTCAGAATCTGGGATTTTATCTGTAAGTTGTTTAGAGTGTTTTAACTACTAAAAGTTTCCATAAAATAAAATGACTAAAACGACGCAATATTTGAGTGCATCACCCTTCTATGGTAGTTCCACTCCTTTGAGTCCCAAAGTGCAAAGTGCACCCTTCTCAAGAAACTCAATTGATTCTAGGTGTATAAGAGAACCTTCATTTCTTGGAAAATGCCAATCCTAGATAGATTGGGAGTAAGATTTTCCATCTCCTTGCTGTGTTGCAACAATATCAGGTCCTTTGTCTAAAGGGTTGTAATAGGGACGATGCACATGTCATGGAGTAACAGCTATAGCAATAATCCACCAAAGAATTGTAGAGGCATGCGTTGGTGTCTTTTGTACAATGTGGTCAAGCAACATACAATGGCAATTCAACATCCATCCAATCATGGTGCCAAATCAGATCCAATGTGTTATATCCTTGGATACTTCGTATTCATTGCAATGATAAATTTTTGCTAAACTTGCATGTGAACAAAAAAAGCATGCATCATATGGTAGAAATTATTATCCAACAAACCATTTGTAAAGAACTTAATAATCAGATCCATTTAATATGGATTATACCAAATACAAAAACAGAATTTGTTGCAATATTTTCAAAGAATGTAACAATATCAATGTGTTATTTGGTCATTTAGTTCTTGCCATCAAAACTTAGAGAAATAAGTTTATTACACCATATATTATATAAGATGTCAGAAATCTTACAAATCAAATTTGTAATGTTAATTGCCATGTGGTAAACAAAGATTGGAACATTAATTAAATGAAGATTATGAAGCAAGCCTTCAATATGAAAATAGATGCAAATATCAAAGGAAATAATACCATAGTGAATGGTGCCATTACCAATCAAAGAGAATGCCTAGACCCATGGATTGATAGAATATTGGACATTAATTGAAGATTGAAGAGAAGCATAACATAGATAAATTGCCTAATCATATGATCATTCTTTTCAATCAGCTTAGTGTTCTTTGTAGATTTTCCATATTATTTAATGATTTCAACTGTTTAACAAAATGATAAGCCAATTGAGGCATAATCAATTACCAATAAAAAATAAGTCGAGTTTCTAATAATTACATTATACTTTAAGTTAGAGTCATTAAGTTTGAAGTTCAAGGTATAGGCTAATGAGACATGCTTGGGGTCATTATCCCCAATATCATTTTTGGGCAATAAAATAAACTAGTGATAAAAAAGATAATTATAGAAATATTAATAACAAAGTGTATTTGTCATGAATATATATATATATATATATATATATATATATTTATTTATTTATTCAAATAATTACTTAGATAATATAGATAGATAGAAGTAAGTAAAAGTAGATAAATTTGATAATATCTTGTGGAGAAGCTTCAAATATGCAACTTTGTGTTTATATATATCTTTAAGTGATTGATAGGTTGAAAACTTGGCCAACAAGTTGGCCATGTGTTATAAATGTTGGTTACTTGTAGTACAAGTTGGATATGTGGTGCACATATCAGAAGCTTGTCTTTCAAATTAGACATAAGTCTTGCAAGTTGGACATGTGTTGGAGGTCCAATAGAATGTCACCATATAGCTTCTAGTTAGATAATATATACAAAGTCAAGAGTGAGGCCTTCTTCACTCTTGTCCACTTTTTTTTTTACTTCTAGTCTAATTTCAAGAATTTCTAGTTTCATAATCTTTTATAATAGCCATTCCAATTTATTCTTGAATATAAATATTTTTATTTTTTACTTTTTGTTATTTTTTAAAATATATATATATATATATATATATATATATATATCTCATTTGTTTATTTATATTATTTAAGTTCTTATCCTTAATAGTATCTTATTATTGTGTGAGTAAAAATTCGAATTTAAAAATAAATTTCTTTAATTGTTAAAGCAAAAGTACTTCTTAATATGTAACAACACTTAATATTCTTTCCAAATGGCATAGTATTGTCTTTTATGATGCTTATTTTATGAGTTGCTTAGAAATGGAGGAGACCAAATTATGATGTTCTTTGCCCACTTTTACTTACGTGATGCCTCATTATTATTACCAACCTGCTCAAAGTACGCATAAAACAAATATTGCACCAAGTTGATATAGCTCTTTACGTCCTAGCAAGTGATCTGGAGCTGAATTCAACTTCACTTTTCTTCTAGAAAGATGTGAAACTCTTGAAACTTTCGCCTATAATATTTTGAAGGTTCTTTTGCTAATTGGATAGCAAGATTAGAAAGAAAAGTTTAGAAGGATTGTTTAAGTATTGGTTTTAAGTAATTTTTAAGGATATTTAGTTTTTTAGAGTTTTTGAAAGTGAGGTATTTTTAAGTATTTTGGATTTTGAGAAATAAAAAGAGGCATATACATTTGAAAAATTTGTAAGTATTGTAGCAAATATATAATTGAAATTTTATAGATTTATAAATATTTTTATCTTTAATATATTTTGAAAATTGAAAGATATAGAAATTTGATTAGATTAGAGTCTCAGAATTTTGAATTTTAGGATCAATAAGATTTTTTGTTATCCTAAAAAATCCACTAGTTTGATTGAAGAAATATTTTGTAGAAGCATAGTAGATTGAGATTTTTGCACTTTTCTCAACTTTGAGAGTAATTAAATAATTCAACAAGAAGTAATTGATACTAGAAGATCAACATCCAAGTTGAAGAAGGAGGACGGCCAACACCAAAGAATATTAGAAGCTCTTTTTCTCAATTGGTAAGTTCAAATTTTCTCAAACTTTGAGTACTTGTGGTTTTCTTGAAGATTTTAATGTGACAAAAGACTTAGTCAAAATCAACAATTCATAAATTTTGAGATTTCATTAGTATTTTATTATGATTTATTTAGGATTTCATTATATTTTTTTTTAAGGTTTTAGGATTTAAGGTTTGATTAAGATTTATTTAAGATTTTTTTAGAATTACATACAATTTGGTTAACATTTACTTAGGATTTATCTAAAGTTTATTTACTTAGGATTTTTTTTATCATTTCTTTAAATTTTTTATTTTTAACATTTTTTTAGCAAATTCTTATTATTTCTTTAGATTTTCTTTATTTAGACTTTTAAAAGGTTTATTAATGATTTTTTTATGATTCTTTTTAGAAATTTTAAAATATTTTTTGAGAAGTAATAAATGTTTGTTTAGAAGTGCTAAGGTTTAATTGGAGTTTATTTAGAATTCTATTAAAGTTATTAGGACCTTTGTTTTTGCAATTTCAAATTTACCTTTTGCAGTCAAGTGCTTGGTGTATTTTCAAGAAAGACAATATGTTATACCACAGTGCTTATAAGCCCATGCCACTCCACCCATACAACCTTAACCATGGAGTGGCATAAGAATTAATTGTGAACAACATGGTGTCTAAAAATAATTTTCTATGTCTTGAAAGACCTAACATATTATCTTACAAAAATACTCATATTATTAGAAAAAAATTAACCAATTTTAATCTTTTTTGTAAAATATACAATTGTCTTATTAATAATTAATTTCCAAAATTTAATAAATCCTACAAAGTAATCAAAATTTTAGAAACCAATTCCAATTAAAATCTAAATATCTAGTATTTTTTATTGTTATAATAATTAATAACCTTTGATATTTAATAGTTTTTATTTGCAACAAATGATATTAATTAGCAAAGACAAAATTTTGATTTAATTTTTTATTTGAGTTTTTTTATAATATCTTGTTAAAAAAACATCGCTTTTAATATAAATGTTAATAATAATAATTTTTTTTCTTAATTTGTGATATTAGAATGTAAGTTGAAAATGATAAAATTTGTAGATGTTTTTATTTAGACCAGTATTCAGCAATTCATAATCAAAATAATTATTGTATGCATAAACAAAACATTAAAATAAGTTTGGAAGATACTTCTAACATTCAATTATCTTAATAACGTGAATATTTTTGTTTTTAAAAAATATCATGGTATAAAATTATTATGCAATAAAATATTATATCCAATCATGTATATATAAATATATAGATATAATTTAGTATATAATTATTACACATATCTTTAGCAACAAAAGTATATACATGTAATTTTTTTTGCCTTCTATAATTCAATAAATCATGAAATATTATTTATTTAATTTTTTAATTAGATATTATTATTAAAAGTATAAAATTTTTAAATAGCAAGAAAATATAATTTCACAAACTAAAGTTAAAATAATTATGTACATTTGTAGCAAGATTTTGTTTTTAAATAATATTTTTATTGTTGTTGTTAAGTCTCTAAGAACATCAAATATGTTGTAGGAACTAAAAAGTTATAAAAGTGCAATTGTGGAAGTATTTTCTTGTTAAATTTTGAATTTGGAGGTCCATTATGATATATTTATTTACTAATATTACTGATTTTTTTTTTCCATATTATATAGGTATTCTTATGTAATAGTACAAGCATCATGAAGTAAAATAGCTCTACGGCTATCAAAAACAATTAATCAATGACAAAATTTGTTTGCTCTTGATATAAACAACAACAACAAAAAGTCATCACTCATATAATGAACTTCTTGAACGTATAAATAATTGAATAGATTTTATTTTACTTTTATTGTTCACACTTTAAAACATGCATAAGAGTTGACTAAACTCAATTAGTACTAATTATTTAATTATTTAATATTAAAAAGAATTTTAAAAAAAGTTAATAAATAACTTAAATTCATTATTAATTGTGTCGAAGCAAATTTCTTTTATAGTTAAATGGAATACATACATATATATATATATATATATATATATATAATTTGAATAAAATCACTAATAAAAGAATTAAACTATTATAAATAGAAATTTGAAAAGAAAAGTTTCGTTACATAATTTTATAATAATAAATAGATGGCATTTTTTTTCGATAATTGGACTTGTTGTGCAATGAACTTATTGTTTATTTTTAGCTTGTTTACCAGCTTTCTGTAATAAATATTACTTTAAAGTTTTAAATTTAGTTTTGTTTGTGTAAATTTTTTTGTGATGCTATAGAAACTTGACAAAATTTAACTTAGAGTGTTTTTTCGATATATTTTATGGATTTTTTTTGTATTGTTTCATTTTTCTTCAAATAGAGAGCTATGTGTTTTTTTAAAGCAAGCACAAATTTTTTATATTCATGAACTTTTACTTACTAGTACAAGAGATTTTCAAAATGTTTTGGTTCTGGAGAAATACAATTTACACATTAGAATCCAGAATTTGGTGTTTGATTACATTGTATTTAGAAAAGAAATGTATTTATATGTATGGCAATCAAATGATGATGTATCATGAATAATTTTGTAAATAGTAGTTATAATATATCAGTTTTGATCTCTTGTGAAAATGGCAATTAATGTATTGCCATTGAATGGAAACCCAAAGACTCCAAAATAACCTAAACTCGCCACTTAAGGCACTTAGGTGCATAAAACAGCCTTCCCCTTTAAGTTGTACTTCATAGACCTATAATTTTCCAGCACAAAGCTTTAAAAACAAACATATCCATTTTATTGAAATCCAATTAACTTTTAAATTTTCAATTATATATATATAGAATCTATAATCAAAATCTTATACTGTTAATTCATTATAATAATACAAACTAATAATACTTTTGGTAGTAATTTAACAATCGTCTAATAAATTTATTATTATAATTATTATTTCTATCATTTCTTTATTCGTTCATTACCTCTTTTAATGTGTTATTACAAACCTGACTTGTAGATTTTCAATATACACATGCATTTACTGGTCAATCCTAATTTGTGTGCACAATCTATATATAGTTACAATCAGCATTTGATATATATATATATATATATATATGTGTGTGTGTGGTATGTAGAGTAGTATTATATGGGGAAAACAAGAGTGAAGGATTGGTTCTTACATCAGGCACATTTGTTTGTTTTATTTTTAATTTAATTTAATTTTTATCTTATCTTATTTGGGTTTTTCCTTATACATCACTCCACCCACAGAGGCTGGTAGAAGTATCTATCCAGATGGACCCTTCAAGATAAAAAGGGAAGAGGGGGGTTCGGAGTCCCCCCCCCCCCCCCCGGGTATTTCCAAAACTCGAATATGGCTTGAAATAGATACATACATATATATATATATATATAGATTGTGCCAGTTAGTTGGGTGCCTCGAAGTAACTATAACTCAGACAAACAGACTCTCTCGCACTCACTTGGGGATGTGTGTCTGACATGAGGCGACCTCACATCAAACCCTCTTGGCCACACACCTCTCCATCACACCCCCCCCTCCTCCTCCATCATCCATCATCCTCCTCATCCATTTTCCGTTCATCCATGGTCGTGCCTCCAGTGAACACTTTCCATTGTCATGAGGAATCTGATTGCATGAGTCAATACTTGGTGTTAATCTTGACAACATACAAAACTCACCATTTATATATATTCCACAAACATGAAAAGGGTAACAATTCTTCAAGCATACAGGGAAGGTGTGATACATATAGAGATGGAAACGGCCTTTGCCATCTAAAATATATTGTTGGAAAGTATTTATTTATTTATTTATTTATCTAGTTATATAAGGGAATGTTAAATAGACCCAGTTTTTTATTAAAATTGATCTACACACAATGAGGAATATGGTAATCATGATGAATGTGGTTGGTTTTCATTGGTTTTGGATCCAATAGTGGGGACATGAATTTAGAGTTTTTTTTTTTTTTTTTTTTTTTTTTTTTTTTCCCCAAGATGGTTAGGATGGGTGGGTAAATTGAGTAAAATCCTAGGTCTATTTAACATTCCCCAATAATAATAATAATAATAATATACATGGGCTAAAATTATTCAATGTGATTATTATTGTAAATACTTTTATTTATCTTTTCAATAAAAAAATTAAATTATTTTGAGTACAATTATTAAAATTGGAGTGATTCATTATCATGAAACTTTGAATTTTATGAATTAATTAAAAAAAAAAAATTGCATTTTGTACATTAAGTTACATTAAACTTTCATAAAACATACTTTTCTGGACACGTTTTACAATAGAAATCAAATAGTGGTGAACTTCAATAATCAGTGTTACGTAGGTAGTAAGGATAAATTAAGAACACAAATCAAATAATGGTGACATTAAAACATGACTAAAAATTATTTACATACTTTTCAAAAAGGTGCTAAAATTTTAAAATTAGATGGTTACTAAGAATTCCATATGTATATATGTGTGTATATATATATACCTGCATATCTTCTACATCAGTAAATTTAATAATAACTCCAATCATAAAAGTAGCAATTAGAACAAGAATGCTAAGGATTTGTATTAAAGATGTTAAAACTTGTACCAAATTTTCTAACATCAATACATCATGACAATGTAAATTGTCTTTTTTAGTAATATTTATACATAGATTAATTTTTTTAATTTCGGGAATCTGTAAATTATATATAATAAATAAATAAATAATTTATTGTATAAAAAAGATCAAAAAGGTATTATAATCTTCTGATATTATAAATTATAGATATTTTAACAATCAAAAGAGATTAAATTATGGTACAAGTGTACCAAAGAGTTAAGATATCAAAAACTTGCATTGGAAGTAAACAGTAATAGCCAGAATTTTAAAAAGCCCTGAGAATAAACTTTATAAATGGGTAATTGCAAAATAATGTTTTTTCATTCCAAAATCGATAATTACAGGATACTTCAATCAAAGATAAAATTGAGCCAAAAACAGAGAAAACAGAAATTAGGATCCTTTGTGTGGAGTAGAGTTAATATTACTCCAGAAATATTTTCCCTATTCAACCAACTCCTTAATAACAAGATTCTGTTAAATCCCATAGGTCCCACTTCTGCAGTAAAAGTTCAAGCAATGGAATTCATTGAAAGTAACTCTTGCACTTTTGGAAGGTGGTGGGGTTTTGACAATTTTACTTTGTTTGTAGGATTTTTACATTGAAATGCCAACCAGAGAAGGGAGACATTACCACAAACTTTGTCCTTTTGTATAAACAGTGTTGTATTGCATTTGGATACACACCCATTTCAATCCTTGCACCAATCACATAGACAACAACCACTGAAGTTTTGTAATAAGTTTTTTTCTACCATCAACCCTGAAAATTCCCATACATATCATTCTACTCATGTATCAACTCAAGGTTGATTGCAGTATGAAAGTGGTGATTAGACACACAGTTCCAGAAGGTAAGTGAAAAGGTCAATTGAGAACAATGAAATGGGAATAAACGCTATGTTTTGAATTTCTGTGTTTTCCATGAACAATTTGTTGCATCAAAAGAAGCTTTTGTTCTGCAACAACAAAAAAACATTCTTTGTTACAACTAAGAACCAACTATTGTTGGCAAGCAAGAACAATGAAACACTGGAACACAAAGAGGGATAGAGTTCCAGTTATGCTGGGTGGTGTAATAGTAGTAGTAGTAGTAGTAGTGTGGGAGGGAGCAAGCATTGTAAACCCCTTTGTTAGGGGGTGTAAGTGGGAGGAGGTTTGATGTTACAGTGCTGAAGGGGCTGTTTTGTGTCCCTTTGAGAGGTCTGGGCCTCTCTGAACAAAGCTGTACGACGTAGTGACCGCTGCTGCGACAGGGAATAACTGCTCTTCAATGCGCACAATCGATCGGCATATCTCCGTGACAATTGCTGCTGCTGTTGCATCATCTGCATCATAACCCAGTTGCAGGATTAAGCTTAAGGTGGCTCTTGCCTCTCTCTCTATCTGTCTCTCTTTTCTCCCTCTTTCTCTCCTCCTCTGATCCTTCATTAGCAGGAATTTATACACATACGTAGACTGTCATTGCTTTAGAGAGAATGCCAGATCAGTCGTCTCGTTCCTTCCAGTTTCGCTGTTTTGAGTGCTCTAGAGCGTCCACCCACAGCATGGACATGTCTTGCTGAATTAGTTGCTGTCAACCTGCTGGTCGCGGCGTAGACTTATAAGCACTGGCTGGCGCGGCTTTTGCAGCTGGAGACGGGATTGTTTGCGCCGGAGGTCCAGCATCTAACTTCATTTGTCTAGATGGTGCTAGTTGTGACCCAGTGGAAGGATTTTAGCCTCACCTCGGAAGCTGAGGGATTCTTTTTTCTTTTTTCCACGCTTTAGTTCGTATTGGAAGATATCACTACTTGTTCTCGTTCAAGTCTGCTTCATCTAAGCCGCAGACGTTCCTGGTTTCACACAATCTGTATCCTTCGTTTTCGAGGATCTGTGCTTCACAAATTGCCATTTTAGGCGCATGATGCTCGTTGTTACGTAACCTGCAGCGGAGTTTACGCTTGTGCAGATTCTTGGAGTCGTGACCCAATTCAGAGACCTTGCACAACTTCAAGGAATTTGAGAAGATCTTCGGGTTCCCAGATTTCGTGGTCGCAGCGGAAGCATCAGCCTAGCTGTCGATGCTAATCGATTAGACAGTATTCTGCGTGGAAGGCGATCCAACAATGAGGCTTCAGAGATCGTGAGGTTGTGAAGCCTCCGTAATCCGTTGCTCGTACATTCGGTGCATCTGTCCATTGACTGAATTTGGAAGCCCATTCTCAGCTTGACCTCCCAGGCGCTTTCCAGTGATCTACTGTCGATACCCCACATGAATGAGAAAGGCTTTCCGCTTGTAAATGCGACATCCGCAGTTTCATTGATTTGGGAACAGAATCAGATTTCTGTTCTTTTCTAGGCTCTGTCGCCACTGGTCGAGCACGTCGACAGATCGTCAAGATGATTACGGGTCATGACATGTATAATGTCTTGAGCGCCATGGTGCCGCTGTACGTGGCGATGATGTTGGCCTACGCGTCTGTGAAATGGTGGGGAATTCTAACGCCGCAACAATGTGACGGAATCAACAGATTCGTGTCGATTTTCGCCGTCCCACTGCTCTCTTTCCAGTTCGTCTCGGGCAACAACCCTTACGAGATGAATTTCAGATTCATTGCAGCGGACGCCGTGTCCAAGGTGTTCGTTCTCTCGTGCTTAGGTCTTTGGGTCCGGTTCTCAAAGCGGGGAAGTCTGGAGTGGGTGATTACATTGTTTATGCTGACGACGATTCCAAACACCCTGGTGATCGGAACGCCTCTGTTGGCCGCCATGTATGGGTCTAAGCCTGGCCAACTCACAGTCCAAGCCGTTGTCCTGCAATGCATAATTTGGTATACTCTCTTGCTTGTGATGTACGAGTACCGGGCTGCCCGAATTCTCATCATGCACCGATTCCCAGAGAATGCTGCATCCATCGTCTCCTTCAAGGTGGAATCAGATGTGATGTCCCTGGATGGCCCGGACCCTGTGCTCACGGAAGCTGAATTTAGGAACGATGGGAAGCTCCACGTGAGGGTGAGGAGATCTGTGTCATCCAGGTCGCAAGGTGTGCACTCCGCCAACCACTCCATACCCTCGTCGAAAGCGCTCACGCCGCGCGCTTCCAACCTCAGCAACGCAGAAATATACTCCATGAATTCGTCCGTGAATTTGACTCCGAGAGGTTCGAGCTTTGATCGAGGGGAGGACTGCTCTACCATGGCTCACAGGGATCCAAACCGTAAGTCAAACTTCGATACCTCTGATATCTACTCTCTGCAATCATCCCGCGGCCCCACTCCGCGCAATTCTAACTTCAATGAGGAAAATTCTAAGGAGGTGCATAATCACCGGGGCGCCCTTAACGTGAACATTCCTCGGTTCGCTCCTCCTTTGTATCGCAACGGCTCCGGAGGTCGATTGTTCATGGCCCGAAGCGACCTCGGTGGAGTTGGAGCCCTGAGTTTCGAACCTGCAGCCCATAGCATGGGTCCCGATGGTCGCACCATTTATCCAGGAATCACTGTTGTCACTAATTCCGTGGCTGCAGTTCCTGCTTCTGGTGTCAGCACCCATATTATCAACCCAGTGTTTTCTCCGCTTGTCTCTCAAGTGGCAAAGAAGGTGAATGATCCAAGAGCTTCGATACCCAAGACAGACGAAGAAGCGAAGGAGCTTCACATGTTTGTAAGCAGCGCAAATCCAACGTCCGTCTCGGAAGGCGAGTTGCACGTCTTCGGAGGAAGCGATATCTCCATTAACCTCCAGCAAAGTGTTAACCCTAAAGAACTGCATGTGCATGTGCATCCTCAGTCGGAGCATCACCTCCCCGGTGCAGGTAACTAGTTCAATTTCCAATTTGATGGAACTACTTCTAAGATGGCCAGGAAATCATGGCCACAATGCCTCAACCCAACAGCATTATTCATCATACATTTTGTGGTGCAGCAAACCATAAAACACAAGACGAGCATGCTCGGCAAGGCTTTAGCTTCGGAAACAGGAGGGATTTGAAAGTGGAGGATGTTGACAATAACGGGTCAAAGCTGGACAAGAAATTTCGATCAATATTGACTGCAGAACTGGCACCGAAGCATCCAATGGACGAAGGGAAGACGAGCATGCCGCCTTCCTCAGTGATGATTAAGCTGATATGTGTCATGACCTTCAGAAAACTCACTCGCAATCCGAACACTTACTCCAGTTTACTCGGAGTGGTGTGGTCATTAATCTCATTCAAGTGAGTTTGCCGGTGTATCACAACCCTGTTCCGTGACTAAAAAGCACATTCTACTTTCCCTTGAAATGGCTCTCACATTGTTGGGTGATTAGTCACGCAGCATAGCACCAAATGCTAGTAGACCCTCAATTCCATCGCAGGGACATGTTTCCACCTTTATCCAGTTTATTCACCTCGTTTTTATTTTCGTGAATCCTTCAATGTGTCAGGTGCCATTTGGACATGCCTCTGATCCTATACAAGTCCTATCACATAATCTCAGATGCAGGAATTGGGATGGCCATGTTCAGTCTTGGTGAGTCCAATACGGCTGCAGTGAGCGCGCATGTTGTTACCATTTTATTTTAATTTTCTTAATTTTTTTTCTACCCCAGTTGACAAAGAACCACAGTTCCAGTGAGATAATGTAACCATTTGCTGGGGGGAGGGAACCTTCATTGCAGGCTTGTTCATGGGAATGGGAGACCGCATTATAGCGTGCGGGACCAAGCATGCACTATTCGCAATGCTTCTACGGTTCCTAGTCGGCCCTGCGGTGTTTGCTGCGGCATCATATCTAGTGGGCCTTCGAGGAGTGAGCCTCAACGTTTCCACAGTGCAGGTAACCCTGATCTCCACCTCTCTGCACCATCTTCATGGATTCCGTTTTTCTTCAATGCTATGCTCTCGGAGCTCTGAGCTGCTTAGCTCGGTTCCTCTTAAACTCCACCTTTTTTTCTGAAACACTGCAACTAATCATATAGCAAAATTTCACGTGTGCGAGAGAGCACAGGCTGCATTACCACAAGGCATTGTACCATTTGTGTTCGCAAAGGAATACAATGTGCATCCAGAGATCCTCAGCACTGCGTAAGCACCTCTTTTTCTCACCGCACTTCACGACTTCTGGTTTTTTTTTTTTTTTTTTTTTTTGTTTTTGTAAAGATTTCTGATTTATGATTAGTGAAGTGGTTTTGACAGTGGGTCTCATTTGCTTTGACAGGGTGATCTTTGGAATGATTGTAACACTACCAACTGCACTTTTGTACTACATCCTACTGGGCCTCTGACTGGTTGGCAAGGTTGAGTTTTACTTGAGCAGTCCCTTAATCCTATTCGAATTCAGTGCTCATGTACATAATTTATGTACATTTTTCACTCAATGGTGTTGAACTCCCCAGTTCCAGTACTTGAGATTTCTTCACCACTCCATGTTGATCAATCAATAACTGGGCAATTAGAATATGCAAACCATGCAGAAACTAGAGGAAACATTATTGCTCAATTTAGAGTGAGTGATCCTTCAAAACCATCAAAAACAAAGGAGTTGTGCTGCTGCAGAGATCCATACATATATAGAGAGATATATTCGGAGGGTGAGCTGGGCTGGGACTCTGTATAGATGATCCCTCTCTGTAGATGGAGATTAGTACCCTATGTTGGAACAAAAGATGAAACAGTTCTAGACAAATATGTCTAATTGTTTGCTTGTTTGTTTAATTGTTTGCGGTACAAATATTCATACATTTTTACATTATTGGAAGGTGGGTCTGGTTGCTATTGTGTTATCTACGTTGTATGAACCATATCATGTTCTTTTGCTTGAAAAGATACAAGCATTCTATCATCAAGCCTTGTACATGTCCTCAAAAATGGTGCTTCATACAATTGCTTGAATTTCGTTTTCAATTATGATTTGTTTTGTTTTTTTTGTTTGTTGTTAATGACATATTGAAATTTTGCTTCTAAGAAAAGAATTAGACACATCCAACGTCTATATATATATATATATATATTATTAAGGTTTTTGGGTTTATTTATAATTATATAGGATTAAATATAAATATTTTTAAAGTTACAAAATTATTGCTTTTATTCTGGTTGCTTGGATAATGAATTGGCACCATGATCTATAGTGTAGTGAACAAATTGAATAATAAGTTAAATAGTGTTAGTAAGTCAAATGATATAGTAAGAACTGATTCATTTTAAATACAATGATGTTGCACATTGCTCAATTGTAGATTGTGCATAGACCTCAAATAGCAAAAATCTTGAGCACTGATTGTCTCTATTAACATAAAAAAAAATGGTCCAAATCAACCTGCAATAATTTTAAGTATTATTGTAATAAATATTTGAGACACATGTTAAATATCAAGTATACAATTTATACACATGTATTGCTATTATAAAATAGTTTATATCAAAAATTCTAAATTAGAGTTTTTTAAGAAGTTTATAGAAATTTTTTATTTTTGATAGCTAATGCATGTTTATGATAGTACATTAAAACAACATACAATTACTTCAACATAAGAGCATTAAAAATTCGTTTGTAAATTTTATTAATATAAATTTGTGTACTTGAATTTAAAACTAATTCAATAAAAACAAAAATCTATATGTGAAAGTTTCAAAATGTCATGTTATTTCTAAAAATAACACATTTAAAAAATAAATAAACTAGATAATCCTTTTTTCTTTCCCTGGTTGTTATTATTATTGTTTTTTTCTTTTTCTTTTTCTTCTATTAATAATAGCTAACTCAAAAAAATTAGCATTTATATCTGAGTTTTAAAAACCAATGTTTCAATACTAAAATTTATTTTAAGTAAAAACATTTTTAAATGAATATTCTTAGAGTAAAAAATAACAATAATGTTCAAAAATATATTTCATATAAAATAAAAAAACATATAAGCCTAAAAACATTATACATAATTTCCGGTATAATAATTTCCTGTGTTATTATTCATTTATTTTATTATTAGCATGACATATAGTTCTTAGTTGACTCTATCTTCAAAATTAAATATTCATGTACTTGACTGGTATTTAAATCTTTCACTCATTGTAAGTAAATCCTTGAATGCAATCAGGACATTATAAAAGCACCAAAAACACAAAGTGTTCGACTATGTTAGGATTCGAATCACTGTTTTGAATCTAATCCAAGCTGTGATTCGTCATTAATTTACTTCGACATTTGTTCTGGTTATTTATGTTCTTTGCAAACAACATTGTTTCCCTACATATCTGAATAGCAAAGCATTTGCTTATCCACAGTGCATTAATCCGAGCTCAGCTTCAAATTTGGTGCATTACCTGGTCACTTGTATCTCCCGTTGCTTCAACAGCAGCTCTCGCCTTCTGATTCAACGACGAACATTGCTTTCAATCGTCAAGATACATCATCAACAATGGAAAAATATTATTAAAAAAAATCAAAAATCAAAAATCAATAGAAAGTCAACAGAAAATGCACCATGAGTATCATCAGAATTTCAATCTTCCTGCTTCCACAATAATATGTTTCCAGACCAGGGGATGAGTTAGGGGGCGAGGCAGAAACCACGTAACCCTTCACGAAATGCATTGTCAAGCTGTTAATGAACGGGATCGAGCGAAAGAGCGAGAGCGAAAGAGCGCGAGAGAGAGAGCTTCAATCTGACCATCGGGGACTCCCTCCCTGCAACGCGAAATGTAGCAACATCTGGAACCAGTGAAGAGAGTGCCGCTGAATCATGATGCGGTGAAACCGATGACAACCAACCTTGTTCACTCACAGCCAAGTTGTGCATGCAACTACCGCCGCACCTCGACCTCACAACGCATGCGAGATCAGCCACAACCCTAAAACTCCGCAACGCTGTGCTGATCATAATGTTGGCAATCTCGTTCTGAGTTTTTCGCATCGGCGTAGCCATGGCAAGCAGAACGGGGGATGCGAATTCATTGCACTGCGGTATTCCACGTGCTAAGATTAATTAAAAATCAGCACTGCATCTGGTGCAATTGTGCACAAACATATTTGGACGTATTTTTTTTAACTTTGTGTATTTTGTGTTTATTTGCATGTATTTGCATAATTAGTTGGCTGTTTCGCTGAAGAGGAGTTCATCGGAATTTGTATATACTGTTAGAATTTCAAGGATCTTTAATGTGAAATGATAAAAATCGTGTTTTTACTTAATTTTGTTATTTTTATTTTTCTTTTTTCTTTTAGAAAAAATTTTATTCAAAATAATTCGTCTATGAAATACTAATTGTCAAAGTTTTATATATATATATATATATATATATATATATATATATTTATTTATTTATTTATTGATGTATAATTTTAATTTTAATTGGATTCGTATTTATTTCAATTAATAATTAACAAGTATCTTGTCAAATTCGTGCATAGAATAAATAAAGAATAATTATGCTTCTTTAATTATGTTTCGAAATTTATATTTTTTTACATTATACTATCAAATAAAATTCAATCAATAACAATATTGATTTTTTGAGTTCCATGATCAATTTGTAAATTATATTGCAAATGCTTTTAGGAAAAATGTTTTGCAATACTTACTTAAAAACTAACCACATTCATTATGATTACCATATTATTCATCAAGGGTGGGTCTATTTGGTAAAAGCATGGATCTATTTAACATTACCCTATATAAAAATATGTCATTAAAACATTGTGGTTTCTAGAGCTCTAAAATAATCAATCTTTAACTCTTTCATCTTTGAATTATTTGTGACATTTTTACTATTCACAATCTAAATGATGATTTTTTCACAACATTTGTGCATAAGCCTCCAACAATTCTAATGTTTCCATTTTCAAGAGAGGCATCATCAAAAATGCATCACCACAAACCACTCGGTAAGGAGAAAATGGTGGGATTTAGCGTTGCAGGAATTAGGGTTTTAGGAATTGGGAGGGTTGAGAACGGATGCTGCTCCGATGACATTGTGAGCGAGCATCGATAGGGTCTCTCATGGCATGGGCAACCCCGACGAAGCTTGTGTCAGTTCTTGAATAGTGTTGCTGTTGCAGGTGGGCGGCTACTTCATCAATCCATGATAGTAGCAGCAGCAGCCACGCCCTCAATCAATAACCTCCTCTGTGCAATCGATTGCCAGTTGCTCTCAACACCAACCCCAGCCTATCGCGGTCTTAAGGGATAGTTTTTTTGCTAGCATGAGCGTCCGTCAAGGGATTTCCCACCAGTTCAGAGAGAAGCAAATATGGAGTTCTAAACTGTGCATTGATGTGAGGAGAGGAGTGGAGAGGAGAGGATTCAGTTCAGGCGGATCCACAGGAAGCAACCGTCGCGGAGGAAGCTCACGCGACGAATTGCAGGTTGAAGCAGCCCAGTTCCCTTGGGGCTCAATTCTCCATGCAAGCGGAAAGTTCCCTTTCGGATTGCGAGGGTAGTGTAATAAGCAGCATTCAAAGCACACAGCACGTCCTTCGACATGTTTAGGGTTTCGGTTTAGGGTTTGCAGAGGAAGGGGCTCTCAGGATCTGTCACCCATGTGGGCGGGGCTTGGACACTGAATTCTAACTCTACAACATCAATGCACAAGTAAATGATGCCTTGTCTTGTACCACCCTACGGACCAAAAGAAAAGAAAAAAAATTGAAATAGAATGGAAAAAACAACCCCAAACCAGGTAACATGATCAACATCTTTATCCAATTCAATCACCCCCATCACCAAGCCATGGAAAAAAAGTTTTCAAATTTGTGAACCCATAGAAGAAATGTTTCATGGATGGAAACAAAAACCAATCCACAAATGAAACTACAAATTGGGATAGTCATGTAAAACCTTGAACATTTCAATCATTTGGTTGTTAACTTATTATGATGAATGTCAAGGTTTATATGAAATGATTTTAATTTTATTGATTGTGTTGATTTTAGATTCTAAAAGAAATAGCAATGAATCTTATGACGTTTTTTTTGTAGTGTATAGATAATATCGGACACAATTTCGTGTTTATTTTATTGAAATTGTAATATTTTTCAAAGATTCATTTTCGAATTTATAGTTTTAAGTATCTTTTAAATTTTTAAAAAATACTAAATTTTAATTCCAGGTAGTTTAAAATTATAAAAACTTTTTTGTGACCCAAATATAAATTTGTCACCATTATAAACAAGATAAGAAACGAGATTTCCCGAAAATAGCCTCATCCTTCAAAAGAAATCAACACAAGAACGCTGACAAATTTAATGTAATCACAGTGTAACATCAAATTAAAGCATCTAATTTTATTACATTTAGCTCTACCCAATTTTTCTTTTTTAATCGTTTTGTTTTCAAATACTCTCTTAAAGTTCCAAGAAATGGTATTTTTCATCTCAATTCTATTTATTTGCTACATTAACCAATTCTGATACACTGATTTTGGTTTTTGTAAACTGCAAACGTACTAGGTTTGTCAATTAATTCACCAGAGAAGTTACATGTGACAATTCGAATCATTTCAAATGCATGTGTGATTACAAAAGATCGAATGTGATTTTCACATCTAATAGGAATTATGTCATATTCAGTTTCATGAAATAAACCAACTAGTATTAGTTTGAGAACAGAGAATGATAGTTAATTTATTTTAAACTAATCCTAGTTAACTTATGGGAGCATGAATAAAATTTATCTATGTTTAAAAAATCAATTTATTCCAACATATTATTGCATATTTTAATAAAACTTGTAATCATATCTCAATTTCTTTCGAAAAAAGTATTGTTACCTTATTTGTCATACCATAAATACCCAGCTTGTAAGTGTGTCCCATAAACTCCCACCATGTGTGTGGATGTTGTTGTGGTCAAAAAAGGTTAACAATTAAAAAAACAATTATCATTAATCCTTCATCACACATGTTGAAGTTGTTAGAGTCAAAGAAAGAATTCCCAAATTGACAACATTGAAAGAAAAAGGAATTGAGCCTTTGACCACAACAGTTGTACAAATGCATGATACATCCTCCCAAAGCTACAACACCCAATATTCTCCAAACTTTCTCTATTTAGGGAATGCACACAGCATTGTCAATTGTAAATTGTGGGTAAAGCATCTCAGATTATAGATCATGGGGAAGTGCATTATGGATTATTACTGAAAATATGGTGAATTCTGTATAGGGCATTCTAAATTTACGAAACCTTCAAAAAGTGTCTTGAATTTGTTATTCATAGACAGGATTCAGTTAATAATTCCATGCTGTGTGCAATGAACAATAGCTCCAAATCAAAGAGGTGTAGTTAATTTTTTATTTTTATTTTTTGTGTATCATACTGCATTCTATTTGTTTTAATGTTGATGGAATAGTCATGGTTTAATCTTCAAAAGTTGAGCAGCTCTACTTTTATTCAATTCTTTTGATCACATGAAACAAGATGTAAAGTTGTGCTATGTAATAAGTATGCACATTTTATATCTCTAAACTCCATGCACAGGTAACTTCCTCCAAAATCCTATGTCCACAAATCATTGAATCAAATTAATCAAACACCAATTTTAATATTAAAAGTCAAACACTGTGTGTAAAGGGAGCAAACCAAGGATTGTCAAGGCATTTTCTAGCAACTCTAATATATATATTTATTGATTTATGTTTATGCTACTTGGAAGGTTTATAATATAAATATAAATACTGAGCCATGTGCTATATTTTTCATGTGCCTAGTGTGTGTCCCCCTACATGTGCATGTGACACCATTAGCCCATTATATGACCTTTGAGAAGAATTTAGTTTGACCAACAAATGAGAAATGGGGCTCCGAGGTGGGACCACACATGACAAGGGTGCTCTTTGTCTTCAAAGTCATGTGGCCCCAATGGCATGAATCTTGTCATTTACATACATCTGTCCTCACAATAACATCCACAATCTGCATTATCAATTCCATAATGAATACTTTCAACAAGTAGCTTTGTATGAATGATTCCTTCCTTCAATTTTCCCACATTTTGAAATTTTATGTCAAATTTGGGACTTGCTTCCCATAATGCACAAGACTTGTGTTCCTGGTGCATGTACTGTTGATTTAGCTTTAAGTTCCATCCTGGCCAAGACAAAGTTTGGGTGATAACATGTGCATATCTCTCTCTGTTTAAAGATTAAAAAAAATTGAAAACAATACAAATCACTACCTTTTTTTTATACTGTTGATTCAATGTGAAGATGACAACTATCTACATCACCATTAATGCATTGGGTATACCACTTTTGTCAACAAAAGCAAAACAAAACAAACAAATAAGAGAAGGAGGTGGGGTGGTGTGAGTGTGATCATTGTATTGAGCTGCATCACATGAAGAGAGAGGAAGGGAGGGCCACACACACCATGAGAGCCAGTGGCCCATATCTCTGATCCCAGCCACAATTAACTGTAGCTACTCTAAAAAGCATGACCACCTCTCCTCATGCCCTCATGCCATCCATCATGGCTGCCTAACCCTAAAACAAAAATATTGCCTCCAGATCCTTCTGTAAAAAGAGGACACATCCAAATAGGGTTTGAGATGGAGCTAGCAAGCCCAAAAAAGAGCAAAAAAGAGCCCCAGGATGAGATTTAGGGTTTGAGTTTGCAAGAGGAGATGGTTTTAGGGTTTGAGAGTCAAGGCAAGTCATGGTGGAAGACATGTTGTTGTACAAAAGGGGGTTTTGTGGGCCCAGGAAGCCACCTCATACATGAACAAATCCAATCCATGCAAGAGTACCAGTTGGTTGGGACTTGTTGTGGAAATAAGGCCACACACAACTGGTGGCCTTCCCTCACTCTTGTTTGAAAAATAATAGGCAACATCACAATCCTCCACATCAACATTACAATCTGCTGGACCCTTTGTTTGCAAACTATAAATAAATAAATAAATAAATATCTTTCATAGGTAAGCTTTAAAAATGCATTTTTTTTTATATTTATAATCTTTAATTATACGTGTTTAAAGTGTATTTGATTTTGTATTTATAGATGATTAAATATTGAAATAGAAAACATTACTT